AGACAGACAGACAGACAGAGAGACAGAGAGACAGAGAGAGAGAGACAGAGAGAGAGAGAGAGAGAGAAAGAGAGAGAGAGAGAGACAATTTGATTAAACGTTTAGCTGAATTACAGCCACCCCGGTCCTGTTGTACTTGAAACCAGTGCAGCACAACTTGTTTCATCAGTACATTAGTTATACCTTTTTTCGTTCTGATTCCGTCAAACCTGTTCCCAGTTACTCCCTTTTTTCTTGAAAGCTGTTAAAGTTCATTTCGCAAACATCTCAATAGAGTTGGGTTTCACATGATTTTTATCCTCCACTTTCAGGAGCAGCCGTTGTTGTTTGTTTTGTTTTTTTTGTTTTTAAAATATATTTTGTTTTACGGGGGGAAGAAGGGAGGGGGAGTGTCCTCGATAGAGAAGCCGAGATTGAATGTTGCTCAAAGCTAGCAAGCTGAATGCTGTGTCGTTGTGTTTGAGTCCCTGTTGAAGAGAAGGCGTTCTCACGTGACCACAATATTACTAAATAGCAGTGACTTTACGATAAACACGTTCTAAGAGTGCCCACCCACTAGATCCGTTTTCAGTTCGAGTCAGGCAGTTGACCCCTGATCCATCATCGGAAGGCAATTATCGGCTCTTTAACTAAACATTAGCGACCCACTGCATTCGTTTCGTTTTCCGTTTCAGTTTCAGATCCGGGGGTGAATACAGCTTTTTGTCGAAACGAAACTTTTTGGCGCAGCACTAAAATGTTCCCGCCTTGTATCCGACAGACAAGTGGTGTGTCACAGGGTCACGGTTTTAAACACCGACAAGCCGCGTTATTCCTTCCCTTCCCATCCCGCCTCCCCCCAATAACACCACTGACTTTTTCTGTTCCTTGTTGTTCTCTTTGTTATGTGTGGTCCAATCATTTCATGAAAAGTGAAGAACGTCTCTGGCTCCATTCGAATGTAAGCTAGATATTTCTCTCTATCACTTAGAATTTGATCTAACAGATGGTGGTACTCGCCATAAACGTCTCTTTCTTTAAATATTGGATGCACCCAATAACATCTCCTTTTAGATCGTTTTCTTTTTAACCACAGTAGCAAAACTATCTGCAACTTCTTCACGTCCATTGTTGAACACTGAGCCCATTCCTGACGCGTAGTCAAACATCGAAACGGATTCAAACCGAGGGGAACACAGCTTCCATTTGATTTTCATCCGTTTCGAAGTTTTATCGAAAGGGCGAAGAAAGAAAGAAAGGCTGGAAGCCGAATCTAGTGGGTGGGCACTCTTAGACTATTAAACACTATACTGGCGAGCCAAAAAGTGTACCAATGTTTTAAATTATGGTCGATTTTGTAATGAGACAGACGTCACAGAGCAAAGAACTTCTGAAGCAAGCATCGGATGGACAAAATTAAATGGTACATATTTAGGAGATGTTTGCGGATGACATGTTTCTGTTAAGCATCACAGCACGTGAAATGCAATTAAAAACAAAAGAATTATCAAGAGCTGAAGAAAAAGCTGGCCTTGTAATAAATGTTTCCAAAAACAGAAGTGCTGTGATTATCACCAGATCCCACTCCCAACACTTTTCACGGAGAATCTCTTGCAGGAATAGATACATGTATCTAGTAAGTTCAAGTACCTTGGCAGCATTATCTCCAAAACTGCAGACTGCACTGACGACGTCCACCAAAGACTTAAAAGGCTTTTGTAAAATTAAAACCCATTTCAATTCAAAGTTTATTGAATATGAAATTTAAAATATCAATTCCAATGTTTCGGCTGTAGGCCTCTGGCGTAATATTCAGAGATATTGGAAAACAAACAAAGCAATTCAACGAAAATTGAAAGGCTACTAAAAGTAATGTGTACAGAGAATTTTATTGATTAAAAGGAATTGATTTATTACAAGTAAAAAGGGGTTGGAAAGAGCTGGAATTGAGGAGATCAACACGACCCTAAAAAGGAGAAGATGGGGATATTTCGGACATGTTTTGGGAATGCCGAAGACACAATTATTGCCCCATCAGCCATGGTACTGGTGACCAACTGGGTAAAGAAACAAGGTAGACCAACTGCATGGAAGTTACAGAGGCACAATAAGGGATAAGGCAATCACCCAGCGCCTGGAAGTGCTGAGATTGGAGACGGCGGTCAAGGACAGGAAAGCGTAGCGTCGACGGCTCTCCCCCAAACACTCAGGCGAGCGACAGTCGGTCTAACGACAACGGCCCTCCGATCTGAAGTGCCAAAAAATCTCAAATCCCTCATTTGCATTCAGACCAAAGCAACAACAACGGCTAAATGGTCCCC